AGCTCATAGCAACCTCAAACTCTTGGGCTCAAGTGATCCTCTTGCCTCAGCCTTCCAAGAAACTGGGACTACAAGCACCCGCCACAGAGCCCAGCTATTTTTTAGAGATGGGGTCTTGCTGTTGCTCAGGAGCCTCAGCCTCCCAGAGTGGGAGGATTATAGGTATGAGCTATCACGCCCAGCCACAAAGGCTGATTTTTACACACCTTGAAGTGGGATTTGGGGTCACCCTGAGCTAGAGGACCCAGAACTTGTGTCCTGATACCTGCATTGAAAGGACATGTGCCACCTCTGCTGCCCAGCCCTGCCGGTTTTGATAAGCGTTTGGTGGACTTCGGCCTAGGTGTGGAGCCTGCTGTGCACCTCAATCTCTACTTCCCATTTCTACTCTTCACCTCCGCCAATTGCCCAGATTATCCTTCAACTACCACAAACTCTTAGAACGGAAAAGACCATTCATTTATTCATTCCTTCATTTGTTCAACAAGTACTTCTCAAACATTTACTGTGACCCAGTCGTGGTGTTAGTGTTGCAGGAAGACAAGGCCCCATGGAGAGAAAGAGCACCCAAACACCATGTTTATAAGAGGAAGGGCCTTATTCACTGGCTGGGAGCTTATAGCATAGAAGAATCCAAAATGGCCACGCTTCCCGACTGCCTTGGTCTTTCCCTTTATATCTTCAGTCAAACAGTTCCAACCCACAGCTACCTTTTTCACTGGCCAGTTTGAATTAAGCAGGAGATGCTGCTCCAGCCCCCACAGAACTACAAGATTTCACAGAAATGGAAATTTCCAAGTTCCAGGAAGTTAAGTCTACAAATTCCCAAGAGCTGAGTCACCAGGGAGAGGACCCTGCAGGTGTATCCTTGTGGTCTCCTTGAGAAGACCTGTTCTCCTAGACCTCACCCTTCTCTGGTATCCTTTCTCACTAGGCTTCCTATCCAACACTCATTTGTTCAATCAACAAACATTTACTGAGTGTTTGTCTACTGTGTGTTGGGCATTGATCTAAGGCAGTGATTCTCAACTTTTCTAATGCCTCCGAATGCCGCAAACCCTTTAATACAGTTCCTCATGTAGTGGTGACCCCCCCAACCATAAAATTATTTTCGTTGCTACTTCATAACTGTAACTTTGCTACTGTTATGAATCATAATGTAAATCTCTGATATGCAGGATGTATTTTCATTGTGACAAAGGGGTCATGACCCACAGGTTGAGAACCGCTGATCTAAGGTGATGGGGGCAGAACAGTGAACCAAACAACATCCTGTCTTTGTGGAGCTCACTTGCCATGGGACAATCAGGCAGCAGAAAGCAGGGTGGAGCTGAGGGTGATAAGGCTCTCCAAGCTCACAGGACCCCACAGTGTTTCTCCAGGAGCTGATCTGACAAAGTGGGGCAGTGAGGCCTATCTTTCTGGGGAAGAGCATTTCAGGGCGGAAGAATAGCAAGTGCAAAGGCCCTGAGGCAGTACAAAGATCATTCTTGCAGAAACAGCTTTCAGGTTGAGGAGAATTTATTGCAGGCTCTGTCCCCTGACTCAGTAAGGGGTTGTCTGTGTGCACAGAGCCACAACTGCCCTAACAGGAGTTAGCCTGGGGCAAACTTGAGAGGGAGGTTAATTTTCCTTTTGCCTCCTATAAAATCATTTGGATTTTTAACCATGTCCATGTATTACTTTCAGAGTTGATAAACTTGATTTCTAAAATAAAGTTTTGTCTGAAAATGGCAGTAGCTGTCCTTTCTGATTTTTCACAAACAAGATATTTTATTTTTTGAGACAGAGCCTCAAAGCTGTTGCCCTGGATAGAGTGCTGTGGCATCACAGCTCACAGCAACCTCCAACTCCTGGGCTCAAGCGATTCTCCTGCCTCTGCCTCCCAAGTAGCTGGGACTACAGGCAC